CCCGCCTCCACAATACTCCGGGAGCGCCAGCCTATAGTTTAAACCCGTATGAGAGATTCCTTAGTAGCCAGCACACTTAGTGTGGCCTCTTTTCTCCCTCCAAGGCTGTCTGCCCGGTTTCTGGTGATATCCTCTCTGCTTGAGTCCCTAGCACAAGGGCCAGACCTCTGCAGACCCCATCTGTCGTGGTCGCAGTTGGTATGGGCAACCATGACACTACCTTAAAGGTGGATCGGGCCCAAAGCAGCGCGATTGGAGCAGGAGCTCTTAGTAACTATATAGAGCCCATCGAAGGACGCCGTGACCAATCATCCGAAAACCCTAAACACGGACACTACTTTTTTTTTCGAGACAGGGTTTCTCTGTGTAGCTTTGTAGACCAGGCTAGCCGCATGCCTCTGCCTCCTAAGTGCCGGGACTAAAGGCCTGCGCCACCACTGCCTGGCTTTCTGACAGTAACTTCTAATAGGGCTTTCTGGTCTACCGCCATACTCATCTCACAACATCCCCCAGCCACTACCCCAAGTGTTGAAAAAGTTTGGTTTTTACTACCAGGTAAACAAAATAAAGTACATCACTTGGAAAGTAACACTTTATTAAATACTGTGTCATTTTGTAACATTTACATTTCTCTTTATAAAATTAACTCCTCTGTGGTTAAAAAAATAACCACAAACCATTTGGCCTCTGCTAGGCAACCCTTGAAACTGGCTGACTCCTGGCCGTACTTCAAGGACAGGCAGAACTGGGCTTGCTCTGCTAGCAAATCCCTGGGGTTAGGTATTGGCTGGGTAAGGGGCTGGCTTGGTCTGTCACTACTGCTTGAAACGGCTAAATGTAGGTGCTTCAGGGCCACAAGTTGGAGAGGTCCTCCCTCCAGCAGCTACTTGTATCAGAGATGGCAACCTCTTCCCCCTCCCATCTGTACCATATATAAATGAATAGTATGCCCAACAGAACCTTAACCACTGAAGTACCCTTCCTGATCCAAGGAACCCACAAGAGCCCTAGCTAAGCCTGTACTGCAGCCCTGGCAGATTTCTTTCTGGATAGTGCTGTAGTTCTCTGGTCCTTAGCTCCCTAAAAGCCCTCCCTAGGGCCGGGAGTGTGAGATCTTGGTCTCCCCTGGACTAACGAAGCAAGAGAAGACGCCAAAAGCACTGTGGGCCCTCTAAAGCTTAAGCAACCCTCATGTGTAACTTGGGAGAGCACTCTAGCCTGGTCCTAGGTTGCTGCCCCTGCCTCCGTACCTAGAAGTGATCCCTTAGCTGGCTGTAGCCAGCAGGATACCCTAGAAAAAGGACTTCACACTAGAGTGGCACCCCAGTGACCCTCTGAAGTGTCAGCCTCCACCCAACACCACAGACCCTGCCTTGGACATATAGGTCTGGCTTGTAACTGTCAATGTTCTGAGGGGCACATATGATCTGTAATAGAATTAAGGCAAACTGGCCAAATGAAAGCTCTTGGGCCAAACTCCAACATCTTGGGGCTTTGGAACATTCTATGTAAATTATCAGCCCCACCTGGAGGTAACTAGGAAGAGAGGATGCTGAAGGTACAGGTAGGGTATTTCCATGAGAATTTCTTCTAAATCAAAATCCTCAATCAACCAGACTCAAGACAGAGACTGGCTGCAGATAAGTGTATGTTTTGAGTAGAACCTTTTGTCAAGGTCAAGGAGCTTTAGCCACCCCTCATCAGTGGCTAGTGGAGACAAAGACTATGTTGCGATGCTCAGCGTACACAACATACATCCAAGATACAGAAGCGGGCACGGCAAGTGGGACAGGGCACACGGCTAGCCAGCCAAGTGTCAGGGCGCTGGGGATCCTGACGGCTGGCAAACCACTTGCCCATGCAAGTGAGACACCACATGGGACGGCAATAACACTGCTGGCATTCGCCCACCGCTGGCTCCTGGCAGGTCTTCACCAGCTTCACACTGGCCTGTGTCTGCATGCAGCCTGTACAGGCCTCAAGCTCCTACAGAGAGGTAGTTGGAACAAAAGGGGTCACAAAAAGGCCTACAAGGTGGTCCTGGGAGGAAGGAGGGGTACCCCCCACACTTGGGCCAGCCCCCACCTGGTTGCTGGGCACTGAATAGGCTGGGTTGACCTCCACTAGGGAGGCAAATGTTTCTAGGAAGAGGTCACCCAGGCTCTGGCGAATAACCACATTGGCTGCACTTCGGATTGGGGCGTGGAGCTTCTCACATAGTTCGCCATATTCCGCTGAGTTCAGCCTGGAAGAGGCATGGCTTGATGAGCTGAGCCAATCTGCCCTTGAGTCCACAACCTAAAGCCACCCAGAACCAAAAGCAGGCAAGGCCAGGGAAAACAGGTAAAGCAGTCACTAAAGATGGTCCTAAAGGCAGAGTATACAGACTCAGTGGTCACTCATTCCCAATAGAGAGGATAGGAAGAGCCTGGAGCTGAGGTACCACCAATCTTCATTCCTAGGCTACCTCAAGAAGTTGTTCAATGATAGAACAGAAGGAGCAACAAAAAGAAAGCAGAAGGCAAGAGGGACTCTGAAGGAAAACAACACTAAAGTAGTCAATTGACTAATGTCAGATAGGCCCCAGAAGTACCCAGTCCTCCCCCACCCTCAGCATCTCCTAAGAGGTGTATGAAGTGCCCTCCAAAACCACCACACACTTACCGAATATCAAAGGGCTGCATAGCAGGGTTAGTGCTCGCCACACGTATGGTAAGAAGCTGCACAGGTAGATTTGAGTCTGGTGAGAGATCGTGCTGCCGAGACTCTGTCACAGTCAAGTGAACATCCTGTTGCTGAGCCACATGCACACGGTATGTTGTCACTTTCATTACCCATGTGTCTGTCACAATCACTCTAGCACCAGGTGCCCCAGTAGCAAACTTGTCAATCCGCCGGAACTCCGTATTGATGGAAGAGGCAACTGCTTGCCAACCTGACTGTGGAAGGGCATAGAGGGCCAGGGTTTGGGCCAGTGGGTGTCGGGTCCATTTGTTCCAGGACCAGTAGTAGATCAGGGTAGAGGAGACAAGGGGAAGGGTCACAGCCAGGAGAAGGAACAGCTGCCAGGCCTGTGAGGCATGACCAGGGGAGTAGAGCTGCTTTTCTGAAGCTGCAAAGCACATGCCCATGTAGTAGCCTGCAGAAGAAAAGACATCTCAGGACAAGTCCAGGCTGCTGGGTGTTATCTTCCTCCCATGGTGGCCCATTTGAAGATCACCTGTGCTTGGGGGAAGAGAGGAGCTACTTCCTTTTTACTGCTAACCCTGAGCCTTGCCCTGGCACCTAGGGCATGGTTAGCTCCCAGAACACACTGCCCTTACTCTTGCACCTCCACAGCAGGCCTGCCTCAGCCCTTAGTCACAGCAGTGGTAGCACATACTACAGGAAAATGGTTTCAATTTACTACTATAATTTCATAGAAATGGCCAAGTAGGGGAAAAAACCCAAAAGTTTCTGGGTGGTGGTGGCACATGCCTTTAGTCCTAGCACTAGGGAGGCAGAGGCAAACCCTGTCTGGAAAACATGCCCCCCCCAAAATAAACAAAACAAAAGGAAACACAGTGACTGCATAGAACTGACCACTGGTCTACCTGAGGCAGTTCACTGGGATACATCCTGGTCTCTCAATTTTGCCTCCTCTGAGGAGGCAGATCCAACATAGCCATCTCAGAGCCAGGACACTGGATAAGAAAGTAAGGAAGCCCTCAATGATAGGGCATGTTATAAGAACAAAAGAACCAGTTTTAGGGCCCTGTTGGCCCAACATGAAAAAACTCTCAAAATGAATTATAAAGTAGATGGTAAAGTACTGTTTAGACAGTCTCCGATCTGCAAAAACCAATAGTAAATGTTTACTTTTTAGCCAACTCATTACATGTCAAAATAACTTGTTATGGTTATGGCCTGACTGGTCTCCATATAACCTCTATGAGTGACTTGTACTTACTAACTTTGGGTTCCTTGTTCAGGCATGGGAGAGCCTATGAAATGAGCATAGCTAGGGGGCATCCAAAAACCAGCCTTTGTCCAGGAGTCCTGCCTCAGAGCCCCATCTTCTTTTTTTGGGTGTTTTTGTTTTGTTTCTTTCCCGAGACAGGGTTTCTCTGTGGCTTTGGAGACTGTCCAGGAACTAGGTCTTGTAGACCAGGCCGGTCTCGAATTCTCAGAGATCCACCTGCCTCTGCCTCCCGAGTGCTGGGATTAAAGGCGTGAGCTACCACTGCCCTGCTCGAGCCCCATCTTCTTAATCTGCCTTATAGGGCACTAGGTTCTCGAGCCAAAAAACTACATAGTCATGCCAGCTCCATCTCCAGTTCTCCAATGGAGTCTCCTCAACCCACCTTCCTATCAAAACAGGCCTGAGTGCTTCCTTCCTTCTTTCTTTCTTTCTTTCTTTCTTTCTTTCTTTCTTTCTTTCTTCCTTTCTTCCTTTTTTGTTTGTTTTTCGAGACAGGGTTTCTCTTTGTAGCTTTGGAACCTGTCCTGGCACTCACTCTATAGACCAGGCTGGCCTCGAACTCACAGAGATCCACCTGCCTCTGCCTCCTGAGTGTTGGCATTAAAGGTGTGCCACCAACACCCAGCTGCCTGAGTGCTTCTATAACCACACCTGCCTCCACCTCCCTGGATCTTAGGCGGCTGCATCCTCACCCCAATCATCCCTGAGCTACAAATATGGCAGGCTATCAGACGTCTGTTCTCCCAGAGCTGGCTTTCCGTGTCTCTGTGTCTTCCAGAGGTCTCCTTTATCTGGTCCCTAGGCTCCAATCACTGCTCTATCCCAGCAGTTCCCCAGTGCATCCTCCAAACCGCTGACAGATGAACCTTTCAGAGGTTCCACTAGCACATGGGGCACCACATACCACTCTCCCTTGGACAGCACCACAAATCTAGCCTGGCAAAGAAGACTGTATCAACGTACCCAACCTTGAACGTCTTCATCTCTGACTGCTGTTTCCACACCCCTTTCCCGGGTAGCCCTCCGACTCCCGTTGTAATGAGTCAAGCTAACAGGAGCCCTTCCTATAAATCGCCCAACATCGCAAACAAGGCTGAACGATTCTGCACTCTAGCCACAGTGATGTCAGACTGGAGTCCGGCCCCGCCCGAGCATCACTCAAAGGTCAGCGTCTGGGCCACTGCCTCCCAACTGGGGAAAGCATTGGGTGCCCTAGAGCGCTCAGCTTACAGACTGTACCACAGGGACCCCGCTCGCTTGCATCTGCACCGACCGGCTTCTGCGCCTGTATGGGGAGCCTCCTCACTCTTGGAGTCTCCAAGCGCCCTGTTCAGCGCTCACCATCGGCCCGCGCACAGGAACTCACCCAACGGCAGCAGTGAATGGCTTAGGAGCGTGGCGGAAGTGCGACGAAGGTGGTAGGGCACGAAAGCGGCGTCCTCGCTGCCCAGCCAGCCTGACAGCAGGTTCTGCACGGTGAGACCGGCCGAGTAAAACTCGTTGGGCGTGAACACGAAGCACATTGCGAACACCAAGTAGGCCAGCGTAAAGGTCACCTCAGGGCTGTCCATCGCGACGAGGCTCACCGCGCCGGGAAGACACGGGGGCGTTCAGTCCTGGACAGTTGGTAGGTTGTCGCAGACACCGCAAAACCGCCCGCGAAGCACTCTGGGAGACTGAGTAACTCCGGTCTAGGGACCCGCAAAGCATTCTAGGAGAGGGAGTACCGCCTTCTGCTGCCCGCAGGGCACTGTGGGAAACCATTCACCATCAGGTGACCCAAAGAGAACTCTGGGAGACAGAGTCTCGTGAGGCCGCCTGGGGCACTCTGGGAGGAGTCTCGGAACCTCGCGCCGACCCACAAGTTGTGAGCCACCCAGAGGTCCCCTCATGGGTACAGCCTTTCCATTACAAGCAGCTCGGGTTCCATATAACAGCTGAGATTGTCGAAGAGATGGTGGACCCTACACTAACTGGCTACCGACTAGCTGACTTGGCCTGCCATGCAAGCCTACCGTACCCAAACGCCCCGACACTCCTTCCCGTGCCCTCAGCCCCGGAAGCGGAACTGCTTGCGCGTGAAGGGCGGGACCAGTACCGCCTACTATTGGCCGTCAGCGGTTGTGGCGTTCTCCTGCCGCGCGCTGATTGGCCGCGGAACGTCAACTCTCGGTATTTGAATCTGAGGCGGGCTCAGCGGACTACAGTCACGAACTGCGAAAGCAGAGTTTGTTGGGATTCCTACGTCTCGGGTTTCCCCAGCTCGAATTCCCAGCGTAGAGCAAGCAGGGGCGGCTCTTGCGGTGGGCGACGGCGCGGGCCAAGGGCCCGTCAGCAGTAGGCAGGTAAACGGCGACTTCCCATTTCCTGCGGGCGAGTGGTGGGGATCGGCCCGTGCTGGGTTGCGACTCCTTCCATCCTCAGCTTCGCTCTCTCCCTTTGCTGAGGGCCCACTCCTGGCTCAAGGGTGCTCTTTTCTGGGATAACGGATGTACCAAGTCTCCTAGGCAGGACTGGCGCTCGCGGACTGCATTTCGGGTTGGGCCGTGCAGGCCGGTCTGCCAGTGATCTCGGTCTGACCCAGCTGGTGTCCTCCAAAGAGGCCGCGCGTGGCGTATTTATCTCCCCAGGCTCCTGTTCTTGTCGAGTGTGTCGTGTATGAGACACGCGTCTCGGAGCCAGAACATCCTTTGCCCCAGGTCTCTTTCTTCCACCTTTTCTGAAAAACTGTTCTATCTGTTGTCTGTCGTCTGAACACATTGTCCCAGGGACAGTTTCTTGTTCCTAGGCTAGTGCATCTCAGTCGTCCTTCTATACAGCCTGGCCACAATCAGAGTACGTGACTTCAGTTGGAGACGCTTTCTTCTCAACTACTCATGGTCCTGTCAGATGGATTTTCTTCTTTACAGCACCCTTCTCTAAACAGGGTCCTTCGGGGCCAAGTCCTTTTTCCTCAGGATGACTTCATGCCTATACCTGTAGTATTTGATTCAGAAATGTTATTATCAGTCACGAGCTCTTGATTTTACACACCTGCCAACTGACTGCCGCAGGTCAGAGTTCCTTCATTCTCCTCCCACTCCCCATACTCCACCTGTGTCACCTCTCATAGGCACCTGGACTCCATGCTTAATCTCAAAGGTAAGCACAACAGCACAGCAACACCAAAAGCTTGTGTATGCTCCCTCTCCCCCATCACAGTCACTCCTGCACCAAGAGGACAGCAGAGCCCAAGCCTGACTTGTCATTCAGTAACATGCTTGCCAAACAAGCATGAGGATCTGACTTCAGGCCCTCAGAACCCACCTAAAAATTGAGTGGCATGCCTGTAATCCTTTTTTGTTGTTTGTTTTTTTGGCCGGGGTGGGGCGGGGGAGTGTCGAGACAGGGTTTCTCTGTGGTTTTGGAGGCTGTCCTGGAGCTAGGTCTTGTAGACCAGGCTGGTCTTGAAACTCACAGAGATCCGCCTGCCTCTGCCTCCCGAATGCTTGGATTAAAGGCATACACTACTACCGCCCGGCTCCTGCCTGTAACCCTAGCACTAGGCAGGCAGACTGGAGGATCCCTGAAACTCACTTGCTAGATAGTCTTGCTGAATCAGTGAGCTCCAGGTTCAGTTAAAGATTCCAATATGGTGGAAAGCAATTGAAGAAAACACCTCATGTCAACCTTCGACCTCCCATTCACATGCACCCCTCTCCTGGGGGGGGGGGGCACCACAAAATCCCTTCCTAAGCAGAAGCAGGACCAGCTGTTCTTCCATCTTCTTGCCTTTAAGACTTCATCTAAGGCCATACATACCATTCCAATGCCCTTTCCCTGTGCTTTCTGATAATCCTTTTTTTTTTTTTTTAAGGCCAAAAATCCTAAACATTGCTCTTGATTTCTCCTTACCCCATATCCTGTGTACTTGGCTGAGCAACCTAGTCTACCTTTCTTTGGCTATAAAACCTCTGGTTCTGTCCTTTTCTCCCCTCCTGGGCTCCTAAAGCAGAGTCAAAAGCAGCCTCTCTCCCCAGTACCTCTCCTTGCTCTTCAACCAGAAAGCTCCTAAGGGGCTCACCCCCAAGAACCCATGGCCCCCTGCCTTTGCTTCCCAAGTGCTGAGATTAAAGGCATGCATGTGCCACTACTGCCCACCTTCTTTGGGTTTTTTGTTTGTTTGTTTTGGAGGGTTTTGTTGTTTTACTTTGTTTTGTTTTGTTTTCGAGACAGGGTTTCTCTGTGTAGCTTTGGAGCCTATCCTGGCACTCCCTCTGGAGACCAGGCTGGCCTCAAACTCACAGAGATCCACCTGCCTCTGCCTCCTGAGTGCTGGGACTAAAGGCATACGCCACCAATGCCCGGCTTGTTTTACTTTTTCAAGATAGGGTTTCTCTGTAGCTTTGGAGCTTGTCCTAGAACTCACTCTGTAGACCAGGCTGGCCTTGAACTCAGAGATCCTCCTGCCTCTGCTTCCCAAGTGCTAGGATTAAAGGCGAGTGCCACTACCCAGCTCTTTGGTTTTCTTAAAACCAGGATTACATCCCCTAGCTCTTGCCCTGTAATACATTAATTAAAATCATTCTATAAACACCTGGTTTTTTTCTTTCTCAACCTGAACCCTATTAGCAATTGGCTCAGGAGGTCGCAATATACCTAATACAATACAAGGGACTCTGAGGCTTTCTCTGGCAGATGACACCTACATGAAGTACTAATTATACCTGTGAAGGGTACTAGCTTTACTTATTCAGGAAGAGGTATCTCTTTGATGTATTTGTGGGGCATTTCTGTACATAGGCTGCAGCATCATTGATTTCCTAATGACTAAAATATATTCTGTTTGTTTGTTTGTTTTTTTCCAGAATGAGCCTGCATATCTTAAATGAGGAAAATGTCCCCAGTGAAAAGAGTTCAGAAAACTCAAACTTCCTGTTTTCACAACTGGAACTTACCGGAAGATCCTCTGTTCTTCGTCCATCACAGAAAGAAAACATACCACCCAAGAACCAGGCTAAAGCTGCAAAGGTAAGTGTGGACTGTAATGTATGTACTCATCAGGTGCTCTGGGATTGGCTTTCTGAGACCCTTAAGCTGTAGCACTTGGGTTTGTTTGTGAGGGCTTGTATCATGGAGCATGTACACTCTCCTCACCTTTCACTAGGTGACTTTTCATACACCTCTTCGGGATCCACAGACACACAGGATCTTAAGTCCTAATATGACCAGCAAACTTGAGACTCCTTTTGCTCTGGATGACAATATTGGACTAGAAAACAATCACTGCGTCTGCTTACAAAAGGAGAAGTAAGTGTTGATTCCATTTAATGTCCTGCAATTCTGTCCTCTCTGGGGGTTGTTGCAAAAGCCTTCAGTCCTGTCATAGCTGGACTATTTTTTTTTCTCTGATCACTGCCCTTAAGTGCAGAATCTGGCACAGTTGTTAGTGGAGAGTTAATCATCAGATAATTGGACTGTTTTAATTCCATACTTCACTCTTTTGCTGTGCCCCTGCCATCCAGTCTTTATTTTTTTTTTAACTTGGTAGAATGACTAGATGTCATTTCCAGAAAAAATTACCTATAGTTTCCTTCCTGTTGAATTCTGTTCATCTCTCCCTTCTGCTTGAAATCAGTGCTTGCCTTCCCACACTCAACACTTGGAGAGAGCAGATAGAACTCAAATGTATAGGCTGGGCGTTGGTGGCACATGCCTTTAGTTCCAGCACTCAGGAGGCATAGGCAGGTGAATCTCTGTGAGTTTGAGGCCAGCCTGGTCTCCAGAGGGGAGTGCCAGGATAGGCTCCAAAGCAACACAGAGAAACCCTGTCTCGAAAAACCAAAAAAAGAGAAGAACTTGTATGTATAGAAATTATCATATGATCAATTATTTGGAGCTTGGGAAATGACTCCCTTGGTACTATTTGCTACACAAGCATGAGAACCTGAGTTTAGTCTTCAGTATCTGCATTTTAAAAAGCCTAGAATATGGGCTAGAGCAATGTCTCACCATTTAAGAGCACTAGCTACTCTTACTGAGGTCCTGAGTTCAATTCCCAGCAACCACATGGTGACTCACAACCATCTGATGCCCTCTTCTGGTGTTCTCAAAGACAGATCTTCATGTCCATAAAGTACATAAATAAATCTTAAAAAAATAACAACAAAAACCCAGAACTATACACATTTAATTCCAGCCCTAGTGAGGTGGACATTGGAGAACCTGGGACTTTCTGGCCAAATCATTGACCTCCAAGATGTAAAGTGCAGAGTGGTTGAGAAAGATATAACAGGTGTTGACTTCTGGCTGCTTAGACACACATATGTATATATGTACATATACCACACATCACACATGCACAGTGTGCACATGCATCCACATATCTTTGTGTAAACATCCACAAAAGAGGAATAAGAACAGATGTGGCCTCAAAAAAAAAAAAAAAAAAAAATGTGGCTAGGGTCTAGAGAGATCACTCAGAGGTTAAGAGCACTGACTGCTCTTCCAGAGGTCCTGAGTTCAATTCCCAGCAACCACATGGTGTCTCACAACCATCCATTATGAGATCTGGTGCCCTCTTCTGGTGTGCAGATATACATGGAAGCAGAATGTTGTATACATAATAAATAAAATCTAAGGTGGAAAAAAAAGATGTGGCTAAAAGGATGGAGAGAGGCTTCATCCCTAGGTACATTAGGCATTTCCCTGGCAGAAATCCTACTGAAATGGCAAGCAGATACTAAGACTGTGCCTAGAAAGGAGGGCCTTGGAATTATTACTTGACCAATCTGGTACCAAGAACACATCTTTATCCAGAGCAGGAAGGGTCTCTGGTATGATTTTGTTCTATTTTTACTGATTCCACTGTTTGAAACATAAACATAGAAAAGCATGAGGAATAAAACCTCATTCCTGTGCTCTTAACTTTAATGTCACGACATTTCTCAGCTCTGTGCTGTCTCTGTATTTTCAAAGCACATCTAAATCTGTCGTTCTTTTTAGGTGTCCTTGTTAATTTACAATTTCATTTTGTATTTTTCTGAAATTCAGTCAGATGAGATTAGTTGAACAACTATTGGCATAGAACAACTTTAGAAACACAGAGCAAACAGTTGCCACTTGGTTGCTATGAATCTAGCCTACTTTGAGGCCAAGGAAGTTCTTGTCTCCCACTATACAGCCAAGAGGGCAGCTCTGAGTAGTACCTGTTATGAGTGTCACTGGTTAGCTTATCCTTGGTGACCTAGGCATACATGTGCCATATTGCCATTCATTATTTTAAGGTATTCATCTGCATACTAAAGACAGAACGATGGCCAGGTGGTAGCTCATGGAGCTTGTTTGGTGGAAGGTGGGGGAATGACCAGAGTGGTTAGCTAGGTATTTGATTCTTCAGGGATTATCTTCTAGTATGGCCGAGGTCCCAACCTAGGAGGTGATGTAGCAGTCTCTCAGTTCTTACCTTATGAAAGAATGGGTCTAATCAAGAGAGTTATAGGCAGTTTATGTAGAAGTTCATTTAGTATAGAACCAATTCAGTTAGTAAAGCTAAGCAAAACACTCCAGACCTGATTTATGAGGCTTCAGCCCTGCCCCAGGATTGTAGGCACCCTTGAGCCAGCAGCAGGCACCCAGATTCCTTTCTATTTGTGTTCATTAGTTCTAAGAACTCCATCCCAACTGACCCTCTTTAGGCAGATGAGGCCACAGACCCAAGTCTTCAAGAAGAAGCCATTGGCCAAATAGTCATCCATTCAAGTCATGACTCCATAAGCCTAGAATTTGACTTCTCTGATGATACCACCAACACAAAGGTGTCTTCACCAAGGAGACTGGCAGAGAAAACTGGCCTCCAGCCTCTCCTGAAGAAATCAGAGGCCAGCCAGGAGCAGGCCCCCAAAGAAGCAGAAGAAACAGATGGGACAAAAGAGAGAGATGAATGTCCCCAGCCTGCTTCTTGGGGCTCTTACCACCTTAACTGGGAAAAATTGGATGACCCAAACTTCAACCTATTTGGAGGTGACTCCAAGTGTAATGGCAAAAAGACTAAGCTTCCACAAAGTCCCAAGAGAAGGTTGGCCTTGCCTGTGGCTAAGCAGCTGAGTGCTGGGCCTACAGATAAGGAGAACTCTCCAAGCCAGTAAGTAGGAAAGGGGAACATCCTGTCAAGAGCAGCTTTTTTGTTTTTTGTTTTTCAAGACATGGTTTCTCTGTGGCTTTGGAGCCTATCCTGGCACTCACTCTGTAGATCAGGCAGGCCTCGAACTCACAGAGATTTGCCTGCTTCTGCCTCCCGAGTGTTGAGATTAAAGGTGTGCGCCAACGTCTGGCCAGGAGCAGCTTCTTACTGGTGTGTGTAATCTAGGGCCTACATCCAAAGATAGCACTTCTTTTTTATAGTTTTGGGGTGTTTTTTGTTTGTTTTTCTGTTCTTTGTTGTTTTGCCTGCATGTATATCTGTGTGAGGGTGTCAGAAGTCCTGGAACTGGGGTCATAGACAATTGTTAATTGCCATGTGGGTACTGAACCCATGTCCTCTGGAAGAGCAGCCAGTGCACTTAATCCCAATGCTACCTCTTTATGTACCAGGATAGTGCTTCCCTTCCATAGTCTCAAGACAAACAGGTTTTAGCTGTGTCCAAAACTAGAGTGACACAGCTTCATAGTCCCTGTCCCAAGACCTTGAGAGAGGTGCTCCAGTGTTGTCTTACTTGAAGTACATCAGCACATGTACAGCTTAACTAACAATCAATGCAGGTAGTTCACCTCTAACCCTAGCATTGTAGCTGAGAAAGTTAGATCAAGAGTTTGAAGCCAGACTTGTCTATGTGGTAAGACCATCTCTCTACCAAAAAAAAAAAAGGAAAAAGCATAGTCAGGTGAGAGAAAGCCGGTTGGTACCACAGCAAGCCCCTGTCCTTAGGTATTCCAGGAGGCAGCTATGACATGAAATTAGGTGCTAACGTGCCAGCCGCCAAGTAGTCTGTTACCTCCAGAGAAACCCATAACTTGCATGTATCTTTTAGCATGAGCTTCTCAAGTGAACCAACAACATAAGAGGGAGGTAAATAATAGTTTAATGCCAGAGCAGGGAACATGAGGAAGATCCAGCTCTGATGTCTCTGTCTCTCCAGTCAGCTGCCTTTAGCCCCAATGGATGATACACCTGTCGTTCAGATAGCAGCCGAGATCCTAAGAGCAGAAGGTGAGGTTCAGGTATGTATGTGTGCACATTTGATTTCAGCACTTGGGAGGCAGAGGCAGGCAGATCTCTGAGCTCTAGGCCAGCCTAGTCTACAGAGTGAGTTGAATTCTAGGACAGCAAGGGCTACAGAGTAAGATCCTGTTTCAAAACAAAAATAACATGACAGATGAGGCCACCAGCAATCTTCTGGTGACAGGGTGGGATACAGCATTATTATTTCCCCTCCCCTAGAGCTGCCTCCCCATCTGGGTTTAAGGAGAATGAGTAAGGCAATGCCCCTCACCAAGGACCTCACTGTACAAGGTGATGCTGACTTTCTCTCTAGGAGGTAGTCTTGAATTCCTCAAGCACTTCAGCTTCTACAAGTTTTCTGGACAATGTGCCGGTGGCACCTCCTGTTGGGCCAGTGCTGGAGCCTGCTCATCAGGGACCAGAGCCTATCATGGATGGTGACCTCCCCCCTCCTATTGGGCCAGTGCTGGAGCCTTCTCATCAGGGACCAGAGCCTATCATGGATGGTGACCTCGCCCCTCCTGTTGGGCCAGTGCTGGAGCCTGCTCATCAGGGACCAGTGCCTGTCATGGATGGTGACCTCGCCCCTCCTGTTGGGCCAGTGCTGGAGCCTGCTCATCAGGGACCAGAGCCTATGATGGATGGTGACCTCGCCCCTCTTAGTGAGCCAGTGCTGGAGCCTGCTCATCAGGGACCAGGTCCTATATTAGATCTAGAGAAAGAGAATTTCAGAGACCCAGCAGAAGGTATGTGGCCCCAATATTTCACCATCAATTTTCCGTAAAATCTCTGTGGACACTTACATTCCTGCAGGTTGTAGGTAGTTATTCCAAAGGCTGTGTTCTGGCTAATTCATATACAAACTTTTGGTCCTTAAAAAGATGAGGTATCACTCCAGGCAGTGGTGGTGCACTCCTTTAATCAAAGCATTCAGGAGTCAGAGGCAGGCAGATCTGTGAGTTCCAGGACAGCCAAGGCTAGACAGAGAAACCCTGTCTGGAAAAACCAGAGGAGGTAAAAAGGAGATGAGATACTGTCTTAGGGTTACTATCTATTGCTGTGATGCTATACCTACCATGACCAGCCAGGCAGTGGTGGCACGTACCTTTTAATCCTAGCACTCAGGAGGCAGAGGCAGCAGAGAGTTCTGTGAATTCAAGGCCAGCTTTGTCTACAAAGAAAGTTCCAGAGTAACCCTAATCTCAAAAAACAAACAAAAAGAGCACTTAATACTTTTCTTAGAGAGGACCTGGGTTTGGGTCCTAGCACCCACATGTTAGCTCACAATCACCTGAAATGCTAGTTCCAGAGTGTCCAATGCCCTCTTCTGACCCCCACAGGCTCCTTTTTGCATGTTATTTACATAGCTTCACCCAGGCAAACAAACATACATACAATAAATAAAATTAATTTAAAAGAAAAATTTTGTGGTGGCATATGCCTCTAATCCCAGCACCTGGGAGGCAGAGGCAAGTGGATCTCTAAGTTTGAGGACAGCCTGGTCTACAGAACGAGTTCCAGGACAACCAGGGCTATACAGAAAAACCCTGTCTCAAAAAGACCAAGAAAAGGGCTGGAGAGATGGCTCAGAGGTTAAGAGTACAGACTGCTATTCCATAGGTCCTGAGTTCAATTCCCAGCAACCACATGGTGGCTCACAACCACCTTGAATGGGATCTGGTGCCCTCTTCTGGTGTGCAGATATACACGGAAGCAGAATGTTGTATCCGTAATAAATAAATAAAATCTTTAAAAAAAAAGACTCAAGAAAAGAAAACAAAAAATTTCAAGGTCCTCTTTAACTACATAGGAAGTTCAAGGCCAGCCTGGACTATCTCCAGAAAGAAAAGGTAACAGTTGGGACACTCCAAAGGTTCCACATCACCACATTCGATCAACTTTAGATAGATTTTTTTTTTAAGATTTTATTTATTATGTATACAACATTCTGCTTCCATGTATATCTGCACACCAGATCTCATAATGGATGGTTGTGAGCCACCATGCGGTTGCTGGGAATTGAACTCAGGACCTCTGGAAGAGCAGTCAGTGCTCTTAACCTCTGAGCCATCTCTCCAGCCCCTAGATAGAATTTTTTTAAGTGTCTATTGAATATGAAAGAGAAGAGAAAGGATTCCTCTCCCTGCACAAAACTGGGGACTTGATTGGGGCTTTCTTCATAGAAGCAGGGAAGCTGCTAGTTAGACTTCTGGGAACAGTATCTGAATTTATTTCAAAGAACAGTGATCCTGCTGGGCGCTGGTGGTGCACACCTTTAATCCCAGCACTCAGGAGGCAGAGGCAGGCAGATCTCTGAGTTCAAGGCCAGCCTGGTCTACAAAGTGAGTTCCAGGACAGCCAGAGCTGTTACACAGAGAAACCCTAAGTCATACACACACACACCCCACACCCCAAATGAAAGAACAGTGATCCCACTCTGTCATGTACTTGGGTATGCAGCCCTCAAGGCCTGCAGCTTCCAAAGTAAATGACTACTATTATTCACTGTTTCAGTTCTAGGTACTTGTGCTGAAGTGGATTATCTGGAACAGTTTGGAACTTCCTCGGTAGGTACTTAGCTCTTGATGGCAGCCTCAACTGAAATGTATAACCCAATCAGCCTAAGCCATTTATCCTTGGTGCCTGGAGCATCCTGCAGTTCCTGTGTAGTTTCGGTCATGTCTGAGTCTAAGAGCCCTTGTCTTGTGCCCCCCCCCCCCACTCCCAGATAATCCTGGACTCAATCAGGTTGTGTTGTGGTCTCCCTAGCCCCCTTTGCTCAACAAGATCACCCTGGCTCCTGGGGCTATATCTGTTAAAGCAATGGTTAATCTTGCTTATTTTCCTTGTCCCGTCTTTCCAACTCTCAGTTTAAGGAGTCAGCCTGGAGGAAGCAGTCTTTGTATTTGAAATTTGATCCCCTCCTGAAAGAGAGTCCACTGCGGCCAATGCCAGTGGTTCCGGTGACAAATAGGTATGTCCCTCCTTTGAAGATGTTAGCATGAGCCAGGCAGACTAATGGCTGTTACTAAGTATACTCACTGATTCAAAATTTCTAGAAAAGGGCTAACAACTAGAATTAGTAATGGTGGCTAACAAACAGGATATGTATCAGGTAGTCCATGTTTTAGTTAGGAACTTGCCATGTTCTCTGCACACAGGCCACCTAATAGACACAAGCATTAAATACACAATAATATGTTACCAAACTGAGTCAGGTCAGATAGCAATTTTTATGAGTGGAATTCTAGTTCCACAGTCATGCCTGTTCTTTCACAAATCACCTATGACAACTTGTACTATAAAAGCAGATCTGAATAGTTGTGACAGAAGCCATAGGGCCTTCAAATCTGACATTTATGGGAAAAATCCAGGCTAGGGTCTACTACTTTGGAAGAAAATGTAATCAAGTAATAGTGAGAATTACTTGCTAAATCTCACACAAGACCCTTGAAAACCAGAGAAGAGTTGATGTCTCTTAACTAGGCTAGGTATTCACCTTGTGCACTCTGAAGGCACCACAGTAAGGTATCTACCACACTTGCACAGCTTGCTCTGAGCAAAGCGTGGCTCACAGGGACAGTGAGTAGACAGGTGGGAGAAGGGGGACATGAGCCAGTAACTGCCAGGCCCAGTTCTACATTCTGGATTCCTAGCCTTTGTTTGATTTTAGACAAGATCGAAACACAAAGCTTGTTAAGACAATGACTTTTATTCCCTATTCAATACTCAGAGCTTGAGATGATCTTGCTGCCTGTTTGGTTTCAGTATACAGGATGCGGATGAGGCTGGCTTGGGAAACCCAATGGAAGCCAAGCTTGTGGACTTAGATTTCTTGGGAACTCTGGATGATCCTGTAAGTACTTTAGCATCATTGGAGCAATTTTTGTGGTCTAAAGTGATGAATGAGATCTTAAGGCCCATGTTTTACCCCCACAGGTGTCAGGCCCACCCTTGTGTGTCCTTGAGCCAAGAGGTCTCCTTCCTGCTGAGCCTATTGTAGATATACTACAGTACGGCCAGAAAGACCTGGACGCATTGGTGAGAACAAGATGGTGGCTGTGTTGTAAAAAATTGGAGGCTGTTTTGGAGGAATAGCTGAGAGCTAGGTACAGGTTATTATAAGTGCAGTTTGTACTCTGACCAGATACAGACTGTCTACAGGGATTTCCTTCATACTTCTGTCTCAGCGATCAAGGAACAGCACGAGGACAGGCCTGAGGGTTCCACACTGAGCTTGGGCCTGTGGTGCCTACTTATGTACAGCCAAGTGGGGTTGTGGTGCCCCCTTGTGGCTAATTGGTTAACACTGAGAAATACTTCCTGCTGGGCTACCACAGCAAGTTGCCCTCATGAGCATGGCCCAACTTCTTGGCTTCATGAATGGAGTTCCCATAACAGTGGCATGGCTTCAGAGACCTTGGGTGTGAATGAAACAGTCCCTGGTGAGAAAGGCACCCCACAGACCTGTGATTGTGGTCCACCTGCCAACCCAGTATATGGCTTTTGTAGGTAAATGCAACAAAACAGGAGAACTTGGAGCTGAGAAGCAAGTATGAGGACCTCAACACGAAGTACTTGGAGATGGGGTAAGACTACAGGCACCAATGCTGACCTAGGTCTACTTGCATGAAGAGCCACAGATACTTATCTTCTCTCCTTCTATAGGAAGATAGTGGATGGGTTTGAGAAGATCGCGTACAAATCAATGGGTGAGTGTTCTGAGGTAACGATATACTGTCCATTTCTTCTAACCTGTGCTCTAGAACCACTAAGGGTGAGGGTTAATGAAGGGAGGAGATAACCACGTGAGTGACATTCACTGAATAGCTGGTGGCCAAAGCTCTAATGAGGGACAGATGTCATGAAACTTGTCATACTATGCCCTGTCCTGCCTTACCCTCCCCAGAAATAACTGAAAATATCTGAGTGGAAACCTGGGTGTCCTTGTAAGGATCTATCAATGGCCAAGATAGGTCTTCCTGCTCTTCTTCCCCCAAGACGGATAAAGCACATGACATATGTCCTTACATGAACCTTAAGTTGACCGCACTGTCGCTTGCCTCTTCCAGTCTTGGCTGTTGTTACTGAAGTATCTCACTGCTATGTCCTGGGCCAAGCTCCTCATGAAGCTGACATGGAAGAAGCAGCTGTGTTCTAGGCCTATGAAGGGGGAAGGGTACTTAATGTGTTATGGGACAGTTAGTGTCCATAGCTGCTGCACCCTGCTCCTGGCTACCCATCTCTCCTGCTACTCTGTCTCACCCTTTGTTTTGGGGCTGTTTCTGGCATCCAGTGTAGTAGTTGCGTCCTAATCCCAGATACTTAACTTTTTAAAGAGGAGGCTGAGAAACAGAAGGAACTCGCAGAAGACAAAATCAAAAAGGTCCTAAAAGAGAGAGACCAACTTACTGCAGACCTGAACTCCATGGAAAAGTCCTTCTCTGACCTTTTCAAGAGGTTTGAGAAGCAAAAAGAAGTGATTGAAGGCTATCGAAAGGTGCGTTGTATCCCTTTGGTCCTCCTTTAACAGGGCATAGCCCATAAGAGTGGGAATCATGAGCTGTGTTATGTGTGCCTGGGTCTTTGACTACTTTTCATTGGCACCAGACCATGTGATGTCCTATCAACAAGACAAGCTGTACCCAATAGATTCTGGTAGAGGAGCACAGCCAGGTTTGTGAAGCATAGGTTTTATTTAGAGTCTGTAAGCATGGAGCCTCAGAGGAGACTGGGGGTTTCTCCATTCAGTGTTAGTATGCCTGGCATACATGAGGCCCTTGGTCAATCTCCAGCAACACCACAACACACACACACACACACACACACACACACACACACACACACACACACACACACACACAAAACCTTGCAAGAAAAGAAAAGGCAAACTGATAGGGCTGGAGAGATGGCTCAGCGGTTAAGAGCACTCACTGGCTGTTCTTCCAGGGGTCCTGAGTTCAATCCCCAGCAACCACATGGTGGCCCCACAACCATCTATAATGAGATCTAGTGCCTTCTTCTGGTATGCAGACATACATGCAGGAATGTATACATAATAAATAAATCTCTTTAAAAAAAAAGAAAAGAAAAGGCAAACTGAGCTGGGTGGTGGTGGTTCACACCTTTAATCCCAGTTCTGGGGCAGCTGAGGCAGGCAGATTTCTGAATTCGAGGCCATCCTGGTCTACAGAGTGTGTTCTTAGGGCTACACAGAGAAACCCTTTCTCAAAAACAAGAAGAAAAGGTCAGATGGTGAGCAAACTGGACTTTCCCTTTGGTGTCTGTGGATACAATAAGTCATTTTGGAGCCAGCTACTAAGCTCTGGTACCTCTTGCTACATGACCCACAGTAATCAACTTTTCACTGTGAGTATGAGAGGCCCAAAGAGTGCTGTGGGGAGTAAGACTGCATATATTCCTCATGATTGTGCTGCCGATAGCCCACAGTGTGCAGTGGTTCTACTCATGACTTGCACTCTTAGGCAGGAAATGGTACCTGATACTACAAGACCCCCCGGGTCCCAGAGATAGAAGTCCAGAAATGGTACCTTGAAGGTGGGCTAGACATAAATGTACATCAAGAAGGTTTTCCTAAAGGGAAAATGCAAAGTTCTGTGTCACTAATGTCCCCAAAAGCTTTAAGTGTCCACAGTCTGCACCTGACTCTGGGACTCCCCATAGCCATGGAGAGGTTCTGGCTCTGATGGAACGGTGCACCATTAGTGTTTCCTATCTGCTCATTCTCAAGAATGAAGATTCACTGAAGAAATGTGTTGAGGAATACATAGTGAAGATTGAAAAGGAAGGCCAGAGGTACCAGGCACTGAAGGCCCATGCCGAAGAAAAGCTCAAGCTGTGAGTACCAGATACCCATCCTGGGAGGGAGGGCTAGCTAGCTTATTGCTGGGCCAGGCCTAGTCTGTTTCTCTGTTTCTTTCCCTCAAGAGCAAATGAGGAGATTGCCCAAGTACGTAGCAAGGCTCAAGCAGAGGCGCTAGCTTTGCAGGCAAGCCTGAGGAAGGCACAAATGCAAATCCATTCACTGGAGAAGACTGTGGAACACAAGGTAGGGCACAGGAACCTCAGGTTCTGCTCTGGAGTTGACAAAGGGTGGTTTTTTTTTTTTTTTTTTTTTTTTTTTTTTTTTTAATTACATCTCTACTGGCCTTTTCTTTAAGGAAGTCCAGAGCCAGCCTTTTTCTATTTTAGTCTCCTTTCCTACTTAAGAGTGGGACCTTCCTAGTCAGTTGCCACTTCCTCTGAGACCCTACAGAAACTAACCTTATCTTTTCTCCTTCAGACTAAAGAAATTGATGAGCTGACCCGGATCTGTGATGACCTCATCTCTAAGGTGGAGAAGATCTGACTGCAGCCAGCCATCACCAACCCTCTGTCTGCCCATTTCTGTGTTTGTCTGATTTGTCTCTTGTGTGGTCTTTAACCCCTATTCATTTCTAAGTTACATTTGAAGACTAAAGTTTCTTAATTTCAAACTCAAAGTCAACCCAGGTCCTGTTATTTATAGTAAGCTCACTTACCTGTTTTTCCAGGTAATTCAGCTTGTTTGAAAGTGTCTTTTCTGCAGGTTTGTTTTGTTTTGGTTTTTGAAGACAGGGTTTCTGGTTTCTTTTCTTTTTTTTTTTTTTTTTGGTTTTTTGAGACAGGGTTTCTCTGTGTAGCTTTGGAGCCTATCCTGGTGCTCAATCTGTAGACCAGGCTGGCCTCGAACTCACAGAGATCCGCCTGCCTCTGCCTCCCGAGTGCTGGGATTAAAGGCCTGCACCACCAACCCCCAGCTTTTCTGTGGTTCTTACATAACAGTGGTTCTCAAACTTCCTAATGCTGCAACCTTTTAATATAGTTCCTTATGCTGAGAGTTCCACAGCTTAATTCTCAGGTTGCAGGAGACTGCACCACACTTGGCATAGCTTGACTCAAGCCCTCCACAGTGACACACTTCCTCCAAGGCCACACCTACTCCAAGAAGGCCATACCTCCTAATAGCCACTCCCCATGGGCCATGCATTCAAACACATGAGTCTATGGGGCCATTCCTATTCAAACCACCACACACCCTATTCCAGAGACCTTGGGACTATATAGATCAAAAGCCAAATAGACCCAAATTTCTACATCAAACCAAAAGCTAAACAGACAGGGCTTGATGAGTTTTCTGCTGACCTAGCACAAGGGTATAGAGGTACCTACATCAGTGGCTGCTAAGGCAAACAGACTAGAGTACAGACTTCTTCCATGGAGCAAGGAGCCCAAACAGACTTCTCTGAAAAAGAAGTGCTGTGGTTTCCAGCTTTCCACCATTCTGCAGATAATGAAAGGAAGCTGTGGACTGTGGTACACCAGGACAGACACTTAAAAGCTCAGTGTCTAAAGCTAAGGATAAGTAGACCATCTCAAGTCAGGCAGCAAATTGGAGTTAGCATCTCAAAAGACAGCCCATTAACAGTGGTGGTGCAGGCCTTTAATCCCAGCACTCAGGAGGCAGAGGCAGGCCGCTCTCTGTGAGTTCGAGACCAGCCTAATCTACAAGAGCTAGTTCCAGGACAGCCTCTAAAGCCACAGAGAAACCCTGTCTCGAAAAACAAAAGTCCCCATTGTATGCTATTCTGGCCCTGTAGTACAGGAGTGGGGCTAGGCGCATGTGTGTCAAGGAGGACTTCTGGTCAGGCCCAGGAGTTCTGAACAGGCCCGGTTGTGATCTAGTCAGCCCCCAGAACCATCAAGCAGGCTGAGGAGATCTGTATGTGTGGGTAGGACTGAGAATCAGTACTGCTCCTGTACTCCCAGAAGAGTTGCTGTAGAGGCTAAAACACAGCATACAGGGACAGATACCCAGGCCTGTGGCTAAACCTGAGGTCCCACCCAGCAAGAGACCCGGGCCAAGGTCCCAGCTACTCCTGAAGTAAGTACCCCCTCAACCAGGACTTGCTGTGGAAACTGCCTGCTAGTCTTCAGCTGGCGGTCCCCAGGTAGCTACCACCAAGAGTGAAAGCCAGTCATGGGCTAGAAGAATCCAGGTGAGCTACCATAGAGATAAATGGGGGCCTTTTTGGAGAACAGACTCAGAAGCCCAGGAGCCCAGGCTTCCCAGGAGGCCTCTGTTGAAGCTATTTGGAAGATAGTGTCTTGCTAAGGCAGAAAGCCAGTAGAGCTAGATTAGGCATTAGTGGGACAGGTACCTAAACAGTTTTGTGGGGCCAGCTATCCTTGGGCTTTGGGCCTCTCTCCTCAACCCAAGTCTCCCAAATGCACTACCATGTTCTTGCAGATCTATGGGACCTCCTGACTATCTCTTAGAACCATCCACCCACAACAGCCCTACACAGATAAAGATGGGGCAAGCAAGCACACTTTGACCTAAGGGGCTCTTTGATTATTATTATTACTATTATATTTTTATTTATTTTACATTCCAACCACAGTTTCACCTTCTCTCTTCCCCTTGACTTAGGGGGTTCTTAACTGTTGAGCATGACAGAGCCTGCCAGGCTCACTTCACAAACAAGGGTGTTGAGGCCCAGAGAAACAGGGCACTTAGTAGCCAGATGTAGGACATGGCAGCACTTCTCTCACCTTGGTTTAAGGGTCCAGCAGGGCCTGAAGCCTTGGAGCTGACCAGATACCCACAACAGGGCAGCAATATGGTTGCAAGGGTTTCCTGTTTCTTGGGGCATTATTAAAGAGGCCTTGAGAGGTAGAAGGTTGTATTCAGGCCTCCTCACTGGCTCTGTCTTCCTGGCTTCTCCAGTCCTGAGAGCTGCCCTATCCCCTGCTGGGGCCTCTCCCAGCCAAGCCAGTCTGTCCAGAGAAAGTCCTGTAGGGCAGTTGGATGCCTTAGGGTAGCCAGCCTGGCCTGGGGCCATGCTGAGGACACTGGCCGCCCAGCAGCAGCCTGGGCTGAGCCACTTCAGGACAAAGGAGCCTTGTATGGCTGAATGGGCATTTATCCTGGGGGCTGAAGGGGACTCTGGCACTGGTCCTCCATGAGTAAACATGACCCTAGCTGGGCACACAGCAGCAGGGCCAGACTTCCGTAGCCCTGTGTCCCTTGATATTACACAGTGGGTGCTTGTGGGCCTCCTGCCAGGGCAGAACATGGGAACAGGGAATGCCCTAGAGGCAACTGGAAGGAGGAGGGGCTATTACTGTGCACAGAAGTAAGCATCACAGAAACCCTCCCCACAGTGCCACAGCTCAGCCAGCTTGCAAATTCCACTGTTGAAATGTGAGTCTCTCTAAAAATGTATGTACTGACACCTAAGTCCCCAACCTTAGTAATTAGTATCTGTGAGGTCATGAGAGTAGAAAAGCCTGATAAGAGGAGTGTTAACCAGGCATGGTGGTGCACACCTTTAATCCCAGCACTTGGGAGGCAGAGTGAGACAGATCTCACTGAGTTTGAGACCAACCTGGTCTGCAGAGTAAGCTTCAAGACAGCCAGGGCTACAAAATAAGAGCTTGTCTCAAATCACCCCCTGTCATACGACCATAGGTAGTATAGGCCAAGGTCTGTTTCCCCAGACACTAAATGGGCTGTACCTACCCTCCAGCCTCAGGGATCACTGTTTTGTTTAGTTCCCCTCTCCAGACCCCATGGTGACTACTTTCGTGGACCTAGTAAAATAAGCTCACCATCAGAGGAGTGGCCTGGCTACAGCCTACCCTTTAATCAGTAGTCACAGGTCAGGGTGGTGCTCCTAGGAGCTTGAGCCCACCAGAAGAAGCCTAGTCTCACCTCTGGGTTCCGAGACCACATAGGAGTGAGAGGACCCAAGCAGCCTCCCTGGGTCAGACAAGACCCTTTAGAGAGAGTTAAGTGGACCCTGCAAGTGGATCTCTAAGCTGACCATCATCACCCACAAGATGTTGCCTGGCTTGCTCCAGCACTGCCCCCTCCTGGACAAGGTGCTGCACCTAGCCCAAGATGAACCCCAAACACTCTGGACCCCTCAGAGTCCTCACTAGAAGGCTTTCAGTGGTGGTTGTGCTAGTAGAACCTCACCACCCAAACCAGAACCCTGAACTCTCTCTTCTGAATCCATTTCTGCCTAAAGTGGGATGAATCCATGTTTCTTGTCTCTCTGGAGAGGGCCTCAGAGAGGCAAGGTTTATAAGGTGGCCACCCCAGGAAAAGGAACACCCTGGAATCGGTAGACTCACCTCTACATCTGAAATGGGCTCTGCCTTTCTGGGGTGTGCTCAAGGATCGATAACAGAATTGAGGTATATATATCCAAGGAATACAGATAATTCCTATGGTGGCCCTATGTAATAGGGACAGGGTCATCTGTGCTGATACTACTTAGTGGCCTCTGTTCCCTGACCCCAGGAATTGATCCCAAGCCTTGCATTTGTCAGCCATCAGGTCAGGCAGCCTGCAGGGGGCAGCATTGGACAGGCCTGCGCCGCTTAGATAGTGCGTGAGAGCTAACTTCCACCAAGCCAGTCCTATACGTCCAGGCTCCTGGGCCTCTAGTCGTATACCTTGGGGTGCTAAGGGCCCTTCTGGCCCTTTCATCAGATCTTGACCAGCTAGCTATAGCTCTGATCATGAATGCCCTCACAAACTCACACCTTCCCTTAGTCAGGAGGAACCCCATGCTAGGCAAAAGCAAAGAGATTCCAGACCCCCAAGGGTAGGAACTAGTCATAGCAGGCACCATCACATGCTGTAGGACAGGAGTCCATAGCAAAATAAAACCTTGCCCAGGGCTCAGTGGTGAGCAGATGTGGATCCTGCATCCCAATATCATGAACCACTAAGTCCCCCAAACTCCCACTCACCATCATCTATGCAGCGCTTGCTATCCTATACCCCTTCACGTTAAAGGAGCAGGCCAGAACCCCTATAGGTGGAGTTTTTCTGTGTTTCAGCAGTCACTTCCCAAATAACACAGAGGCTTAATATGAATTATAAATGCTCGGCCAACCAGTTAGCTAGTTACTAGCTAACTGATATTTTAAATTAACCTATTTCTATTAATCTATGCATTGCCACATGCCTTGTGGCTTAACGTGTTCTTCAGCATGTCTTTCTTCCTCTGTGTCTTCTGGCAGCTTCTCTCTGCTCTTCTCCTTCCCAGCATTCTCAGTTTGGCTTTCCTGCCTAACTTTATACTGTTTAGCTATTGGCCAGTCTGTTTATTAAACCAATCATAGTGACATATTCACACATTGTACAGAAGGGTTATTCCACAGCATTTTCCCCTTTTTGTCAAGATAAAAAGGAAGGTTTCAAATTTAACATAGTAAGATTATATGCAACAAAAAACGATTATTAAGTAACAATTACAGTTACAATATCCAGTCCATTTGTATTTGACAAAATTAGATAAAATATTCTATTATTTATCTTACCTTTGTGACTCCAAAGTTTTGTAGCTAATTTACCTTCTATCATAACTAAGGAAAACTGTAACTATCTAGTCTTCAACTCCATCAAAGACCCTAGAAGGATGAACAGTTAGCTAATGACAGGGAT